GTGAGTAAGCTCATTTCTTGTTTTTTCCCAGAGTAAATATCCTTTTGTAATAAGAGTCAGAAATATATATATATATAATAGACTTTAAGGGTAAAATTTTGTAGGTGACTTTTTGGTCTTGGGAAACAAAACGACATCGAATAAAGAAACTACATTGCTTTGTTTCACATTTCAGAATATTGTGCTGTTTGGTTTGATTTACCCTATTTCTTCCCCATGCTTCCAGTTATCTAAGAGACATCTTCAAGAAAAATTATACAGCAAGAAACACCTGACATGGTTTTTCCTTTTTTCCCATCCCTGTTTTGTCACAGATATAGCTCAGAATTTAAAAACGCTATAAAATGTGTCCCATAGAAGCTAGCTGACATGGCAAGGCCAGAAACCTTGGTACCACCAGGAGGGGCCTTTGTCAGGGAACGAGCAGACTGAAAAGGAGTTTCCATGGTGAGCGTGCCCAGAGTGTGATAAAGCTACTGTCAAGTCCAGGGCAGATTTCCCTTTCCAGCTTTAGGCCCTCAGCCTCTGTCCCAGGAGATAAAAGCAACCATGGGCTTGTCTGGGCACTGAGAACAACTCTGAAACCTTTCTGAACACTTTCCCTTTTAGTCACCAAGACATTCTATTGAGGCTGGGCAGGCTCCCTTCCGGGTTCTGGCTGGCCGCAGTCCTCACATTCCCAGGACCTGCTTTCTTGAGAGCACCCAGACATCCAGGAATTCACTGTTCTAAAACTTTGTTTTCTGACACTCAGTGCCTTTGACTGCTCTACAGTGCTCAGCTAATTGTTTGTTGGCATCTGACACATTCCTGCCCATCATGGTGACTCTCAAGACAGGTCTGTGCTAGTCCAATACCTCCAGTCACTCAATCCTGACTGTCCTGGAGGGGACTGCATGGTGGCACTTCTAGGGCTGGGGCCACACAGGACAGAGCTTTCCTGTATAACATATGGTAGCTCATATCTACTTCCTATCCTTGGCTTAGCATTGATTGTTTTAAAGTTCCTATTTCTTCCTCCGTAGCTACAGACTACATTATCAGGTGAAGACAGTGCCCCCCACGCAGGATGGGTACCTACCCCATTCCACTGACGTCAGGCCTGGACATCTTACTTGTTCTGACTATGATGGCTCCATTAAAGAGAGCTGACGTGCTGGGGCCATTGAGTGGCGCTGCCATCAAAGGGGCTGTTTTTCAGCCTGGTCCAGCATAAAAAGCCACAGCTGCACCCACAAAGATAAGGTGCTATATTGATATAAGCCACAGAGCTGGGGCTGTTTAAAATCAGAATAAGGGCATTAAATCCAAGAGGGCACCAGGAGGTCATGCCAGGAACGCATCTTGAGCTCTGGGGTCTAAACAGATCTAAACACTGAGGTCATAGAGATGCTGCCACTCACCCCCTCCCAAGACCCGCTGCTACACACTGGACTCCATCTCCTAAACCTCATCATTTGTCCCCTTATACTGTGTTGTGGGAGCCAAATAATCACCCCCTAGTGCTTGCTCATCTCCCTGATCCTGGCTCCTGGTGAGGTGGCTGTGTCCCTCTCTCTCTTTTTGATCACATAAATGCTTCTCCACACTGCTGTTAAGGATCTTACTAGATAAGTGTCCCAGGTTCACATCCAGGTTTTCAGAAGTTGAGAGCTTGTATAATTTGGAAGCTCCTCTTTAGAAACAGGCATGAGCCAGGCATGGTGGTGCAGGTACATACCTTTAATCCCTTGAATTTTAGCAGAGGTGGGCGGATCTCTGGTCGACATAGTGAGTTCCAGGCCAGCCAGGGTTACATAGTGAGAGCCCGTCTCAAACAAACAAACAAACAAACAAACAAACAAACAACTGTTATAGGACAGAGTTCTTAAAAAAATCACCAACACCACTTTAAGAAAAATAGCAAGGTAAATTTTAATTTTCGACCGGCCGGGCTGTCTATCTCGGGAGTAGAAGCAGCCCTGGTGATTGTCAGGTCAGAGTTTTTATAGGATTACAGAATTATTATTAAAACAGGACATTTGTGAACCAATCAGGTTTGTACAACATAGCAGTATTTTGATTCTATTAACAACCAATCATTGTACAGATAAGTGATACAGTCATATAACTTGGCACTCAACTTTGTGACATTAAAAACTAGCCAACTGCTTTAGCCATAACAAGTAAAATAAGACAGTCAAGGTAAATAACCTCTAGGTGGTCGTGCAATAACAGAATAACAAGGGTGGTCTTATGCCCTGTGTCAGGGCGACCCAAGGCAGCAAGCAGGTTACAGAAGCGAAAACAAGCTGGTTAGCAAAAATATAATGTCTGGAATTAGCACCTTCCATGATTCATGGCGAGGGCAATTTTCCAAGGCCCAAGGTTCCCCCCTTTTCTTTCTGGTGGAGCAAAGTTGCTGCTGAAAGGCTCTGAACAAAATGGAGTAACTTAGGGAAGTTTGCTGAGCCAGTTCATATATGTGCACGCAGGTATATGTGCATGGGTGCTCCCAAGGGCATTGGGTGGGGTTTGGAATAAGGGTGGGGGGGTGGTAACTGCAGAGGCCAGAAGAGAACAGCAGATCCCCTAGAATAGGAGTTAGAGGTGATTATGAGCCATCTGATGTGGGTGCTAGGCACTGATTTCAGGTCTTCTGCAAGAGCAGTATGCACTCATGAACTCATTGCAGCTGTGGTTACCTGCACTAGATCCAGCTGGTCAATGTTCCAGCATGGAGGTGAGAGGGGCACATGAGGCCCCACCCCTAGCTGAGGAGCTCTTGGCAGTTATGACTGCGGGGGGTTGGGTGGGGTGGTGGGAGGGAGTCATTTTTCTTTAGGGGTGAGGCCAGGTGTGAAAACAGGAGGGGGTACATATTGGGAAGGAGATGATTCAGAGGGAGTGGGAGGAGGATTAGAGAGGGGAGTGGAGGGTGAATATGATCAAAATACATTTTATATATGTATTAAACTGTCAAAGAATAGAATTTATTATTTAAAAAGACCCAGATGTAGAAACAGTTTTAGAGGAATGGCTCGCAGTGAACCACTGGCAACACAGTATCAGTCATGACTCTGTCTAATGTGTGCTCCCTGTCATTTAATCATATGTCTCATAGGCCCAGATAGAAGGGGCATGTTCTATGCATATAACTGTAGAGGGTCACATGCTGTCTATGTCCTTGACAAGAAGTCTGCAGGGCTGAAGGGACTGCTCACTCCTTTGCCCTTCCTTCTCCCGAATCACCTGCCCAAAGAGTGGTCCCTCTGGTGTACTTCCTCTGAGGTATGCCATGATACCTGCATCCTGAGGTCCAACGTGCAGCAAGGCTGGCTGCTCTCTGCAGAATGATGGACAGAATTTGGATAGGTGCACGAGTGTGTCCACACAGGTGCACCAAGACCCCTCTGACAAGGAAGAAGCTAGAAATCATGACCACAGACTAGGGATGGAGCTGGCTTTCCATATAACACTATACTCTAGAGTGGAACCTCAGAGTCTATGAATTCTCAGTTCAAACTTGGTGACCAAGATCGTAAAGATACTGTTTTTCTGAAGGTAGGAGGCAAGAATAATATATCGATACGTTTTCTAACTTCAGTCTAAGTTTTCAATATTGAAATGTGTGGGCATTCATTTATTCTCTTCCCTGGCTGCTGAATATAAAGGGTGAGCCTGCATGTGGATTCCATTCACCTACATAGTGGCATGCCTACTATTTGGTTTCCCAGATGTTTAAGCTGAGACCTAAATATAGTCTTCTTCCCAATGTTTCATGCCAAGATTTAACTCAGAATTCTCAAAGTAGGATTCCCAACTAGTAACAGGAGCATTTTAGAAATGTAGATTTCTTAGGGTTAGGGTCTTGGTTCACTGGTGCAGTATGTGTTTACGAGGACCTAGGTTTAATCCGTAACACTCTTCTCCCAAACCAAAGAAAGAAGAAAGTAATGTAGATTCTTGGGCTCCACTCAGGACCTACTGGGACTCACTATGTAGACCAGGCTGGCCTTGAACTCACAAAGATCGTGTACCCATGTAGTGCAATACCGAGGTCAGAAGTGGGCTTCAGATTCCCCTGAACTAGAGTTAAGGACGGTTCGTAGCCACCATGTGGGTACTGGGAATCGAACCCGGGTCCTCCGCAGAACACTCAAGAAGAGGTGGGACACGATTCTGCGCACTACCCAACACCTGAGGGAACAGATTGCTCAGCACAATGTGGCATTCTCAGTGGCTGGCAGAAGCCGGTCAAGCTCGAAGGTGCAGGTGGTGAGAACAGGAGACTGGGGATAGAGAGGCCAGCTTGTGATGAAGGTGAAGGCACAGGTTGGCCCTTTGGGGGGGTCCAGGGAAAATCAGGATTCACAGGAAGAAGGAACATTTAGAGAGAGGAATTCTTCACATCACCGCGCGCATCCCCCAACCGAGTCTCAAGCGGGAGGGACAAGCAGTGTAAGTTGGGTGAGGGCTCAGCCTAGGGTGGCACGGGCGGGGTGCACCCACGACGGGCTCCCAGAGGTTCGGTCGGGTCGGGAAGGACACGGAAGAACAGTCTTTGAGACGGCGGCGGGCTTTTGTGGGCAGCCCGCCCGCGCCTGCAGCGCTCCTCCGGGATCCGCGCTGGGTAGGAGGAGGCAGGGCAGCCGTGCGGTCTCAGCCAACCGAAAGCCAGCGTTCGAATTCGCGTCCCAGGGTAGCCAATGGCAGGTGACCGGGGGGGGCGTGGCTCTGAGGTCCCTCCAGTGAGAGCTCCTGGCGCGTTTGAAAACCCGAGGCGGGGTCCGCGCCTGCGCGCTCTGCGCACGTACCCGAGCGCGGGCTCGCGGGCTGGCGATCTCCGGTGGCCTTGGTGCGAGCTTGGCAATGGGGAGCGGAGGCGGTGAGTGCGGGCGGGCTTGGGGAGGCCATGGGTCCTGCCGGACACCGGCAAGAGGATGACGGGCTAGGGCCTTCCGACCCGTGCGGAATGGGTCGTTCCCCGCAGGACTCGCCGGGCGCGGACTCTGGTTCCGAGCCCGCCCGTCCAGTTTAAATGCCCGCCGGCAGCCCGCGCCTGTCGTGTTCCCCCGAGCCACGAAGTGGGGTTTGTGCCCAGCAAACTATGACTGCTTCTCGTTGAAGTCGGGCCTGTGGAGCTAGTGGTCGGGAACTTTGTGGTTCCCACTTTGTAGCTCCATCTCGCGTCCTGTCCCGGCACCTACCTGCCTGCGGCTCCCTGAGCGCCGCTGCCTTAGCTCTGGGAAAGCGTCGCAGGTACCGGGGCATGTAATTTCACTTGGAGACTGTGGTTGTTTAAATATTTTCAGATGTCTGTTCTGGAGCAGGTGAATCAGGAAACTCATGTATTATCGTTTAATGTTTGGAAATTAGTAGCTCTGGGTATGCGTTTTTATTTTGCAGTACATTTAGTTTACTACTGGAAGACACTACCAAGAGTTTGGGGGTGGGCAGTTACTGGTGGGCAGTCGGCTAGGGCTGTCCTGGTGAGGGGCTTCACCAAAGCCATGAAGAACAGCCACTTTGCCCTAGGTGGGAAGGAAGAATGGATAGAATGACAGGCGGGCAAATTTATAGAAGTTAAGACCTTAAAGTTCCTAAAGGGGCCGGAGACTTGAATTTCTCCTGTGAAATAAAGGGGAAAGCCATCTGCGTAAAATGAGGAAGGCGTTGCTGGAGTGGGATTTGGAACAACCCACTGTAGGTAAAGGAAAGAGCTCATTTGAAAAGCATGACTGGACACAGAGGGCTTGCCTCACCTTTAATGATTGGTGCTGTGTGGGCATCTAGGTCTTGTGTTGGGATCTGCACATAGGCTGAGTAGCTGTCAAGCCACTATTTTGTGTAGCTGTAACAGCTCCTAAGCTGAGACTTGATCTGGGGCTGACCTGATCTACATGTCCTGTAGAACTGTAGGTTGAGTTCTCAAATTATGCTATTGAAGCTCATAGGTTCATATTGAACATTATACTTTTCAGTCACATGTGCATAGATATAAGCAAAAGGAAGCTGTGTATGGCAGTGCACACTTGTAGTACCAGTACTTGGGAGGCAAGGGCAGGAAGGATCAGGAATTCAAGGCTATGTTAGTGAATTTGAGGCAGCCTGGGCTCACAAAACCCTATTTCAAGAAACAAAAAAAGAAGCAAAAATACCCAGCAAAAGTCCAAGGAACTTTCTTGAGAATAAAATTCAAGGAAAACAATTGTCAGAATTGACTGCTTTTTCCCCTTTCCTGGTTGTCCTGTGGGTTCTGGCTCAGAAAGTTTGCAGTAACGAAGTTATATGTTACTTGATAGTCACCATGAAAATTTGTTGGATATTGAATGAATGGTGATGTCTTAATTCATACCACTATCTCCTTTATTCAATCTTAGGACTAGTCTTTTGTGTGAATAAAGGACAGTAACCATTATCTTCACATATAACTTTTCATCTCACCAAGACTAGTGGTTTTTTTTTTTTTTTTCTCTTAAGTAATCCATTGTAGGTGTGCCAAGTGTTTCTGTTACCCTACCAAGAGAAGAATCAGAAGAAGACCCCAAAACCTAACCATCTTGAGTCTCCCAGAAGATGTACTCTTTCACATCCTAAAATGGCTTTCTGTTGGAGACATCCTTGCTGTCCGAGCTGTAAGTCACCAGATGAAAACAATACCAGTCCTAATATTGTTGATTAAACTATAAAGATCTTATGTTCTTAAATGTCAGAACAAAACTTTGACTACATAAGAAATAAGGGTGATTGGTTGATTGAAATAGTGTCTCTTGTAGTCAAGGCTGGCCTTGAACTTTTGATCATTCTTCAACCTCTATCTCTACTGTTGGAACTACAGGAATGTACTACTGTGCCTACTTTTTTTGTGGGGGTGGGGGCGTGGAGGGGTTGAGAAGAACTCACTTAGCTCAGGATGGTCTCTGAGTGATTATATAGCCAAGGTTGACCTTGAACTCCTAATCCTCCTGCCTCTTCCTCCTCCAGCATCACGCTATTAAAACAAGGGTGATATTGTGAATAGATGATTGAAGATGTTCCATTTAGTTGCAAGGACTTCACACTAAGATTTGACTCAGTTCTTGCAATGTTTATTTCAAAAGTGAAAATGCCCTTTTATGGAAATAAAATTACATTTCTTAAGAAAAAATATTGTGGGCTGGAGAGATAGCTCAGCAGTTAAGAGCACTGACTGTTCTTGCAGAGCACCCAGGTTCAATTCCCAGCACCCCCATGGCAGCTACAAAAACGCCAGAGTCAGGGGATCCGATGCCCTCTTCTGACCTCTGCAGCATTGCACAACACGGGTGCACTTCCATACAAGCAGGCAATACACTCATACACATAAAGTTAAAATATTAAACAAAATACATAAAAAAAGAAAAAAGATTGTGAGCTAGAATGATGACTTAAGCCTGTAATCCCAGTACCTAGGATGTGTAGATACTGGTAGGAAAAAAGAAACAAACACAAAAATACAATAAAATAAAAGAAATTGTCTGGGTTGGCAAGATGGTTCCTGGTAAAATCTCTTGCCATACAAGCCTGATGACCTGTTTGATCACTAGAACCCATGTAAAAGGAAAGAATGAACTTCTAAAAGTTGTACTCTGACCTCTGTATACATGCTGTAGCATGAATTCATCTGTATTGGTACACACATCATACACACAGTAAGAATACATAAAATTTGGGGGCCAGCAAGATCCTGATAACCTGAGTTTAATCCCTAGGACCCACATGGTAGCAAGAGAGAACTTATTTCCCCAAGTTGTAAGTAGAAAGCTAGCCTGGGCCACTTAAGCCAAGATTTCTTGGACTTTTTTTTTTTTTGAGACAGGGTCTCCCTGTAGCTCCAGTTGTCCTGAATCTCACTATGTAGACCAGGCTGGCCTTAAACTCACAAAGATCTTTCCTGCCTCTGCCTCCTGAGTGCTGGGATTAAAGGTGTGCGCCACCACACCTGACTTTCCACTCTTTTAAAAAAATATTTTATTGTTTTTATTTTATGTGTATGAATGTACTGCCTGCGTGTGTGTAAGTACACCTATGTTGTGCAAATGCCAGTGGAGGTCAGAAGAGGGCATCAGATTCCCCTGGAACTGGAGTTAAGGACAGTTGTTAGCTGCCATGTGAATGCTGAGAATCGAACCTGGGTCCTCTACAAGAGCAGTTAGTGCTCTTAACCTCTGAGCCATCTCTCTAGCTTCAAACTTTTTCCACTCTTGACCCTTTTCACCTAAGATCTTTTTGTGTGACCCTGAGTATATAGATTTAAAAAAAGTAGATACAGCCGGGCGTGGTGGCACATGCCTTTAATCCCAGCACTCAGGAGGCAGAGGCAAGCGGATCTCTGTGAGTTCAAGGCCAGTCTGGTCTACATAGTGAGTTCCAGGCTAGCTGGTGCTACAGGGAGACCCTGTCTCAAAAAGACCAAAAACAAAACAAAACAAAACAAAAGCAACGCTAAGAGTA